TACAAGACTACGAGAAATATTTGTGTTTTTTCAACGTTTATGGGACACTGCAGTTGCTGGTTGTAACTGGTTTGGCAGATATCGTTGAGTTTTTCGCCTTGTGGCCTCTGCCTTGTGGCCCTTGTCGAATGTTGATGTATTTCAGCACTGGATCGTTTGAGATAGGTAGGTGTTCCCTTTATATTCCATATTTTTAATGTTTTACTATAAAGTATCGCTTTCTAAATATTCAATTCACCATCAAACTGAACAAGTAGTTTTAGTACGATCAACTTTGCCGAGGTTGTCTTTAATACGTACAACAAATTTTCTATAACAAGTCTTGACACTCTTTGTCTTTCTTGCGGCCAGACAGCTATGAGCTATGCACAACAATAGATCGCTAAACCAACTGCGTCCAAGGACTCAAATTGCTTTGTCAAATTTTCCTTGCCAATTATTTCAAAGACAAGCACACTTGTTCAAAAGCTAGCATGTTAAGGCCCGGTCACACTACACAACGATAACGATACGATAAATTGTAAACACGCGATAATTGGCAAAAAAATTGTGTTAGTGTCAACACTACAACGAAAATGATAAAATTGTATAATATCGTTTGACGATAACGATAACGATTTTAAAATCGCTCACCTGAGCGATTTTTTTTTCAGTCGAACGATAACGATAAATTTTTGACCAATCAGCGCGCGTATACAAGTTATCGTATCGTTATCGTTGTGTAGTGTGACCTGGGCTTTACACTACCTTTTCAACAAGTATATACTTGGAATAAAACTTGTCATATCTAACTGACTCATCTGTTACTTTTGTTTCAGAGTATGAAATAAAAGTATAAAAAAATCCTCAAAGTGAAAAACTAATTTCATGTGGGAGGCATTATAAACAGCATGTCATATGAATATATAACTGTGCTGTTCTTGCATATTTTGCCAAATATATACTTGATGTGTATTTGAATATTATTTTAACCTACAGTTTGTTAGAATTTCTATGTGGACTGTTTTAATAATTAAAATACTTTCTCATACAACAAGCAAACATCGACTTTCAAAGAAATTGCCTTTTGTCATTTTTTCAAAGTTTTCTTACCAATGTAATTATAACCCAATTGTAACATGTGGTCATTCTGGCAAAACCCAAGGCCCATGCACATTTTGCTGTTCTTTACTTCCGAATGGAAATTTCTACACTTTCTACTATATATATAGCTTTTTATAAATGATTGTACCGATGATAATCAGGGCCAAAATAATTTAAAGGTTTGTAACCGTTATTGTCAAAATAATTTGCCAATTTATATATTAATCACCCACAAATGAACTCGGCAGCCACTAAATGTATTTTTATCTTTTGTCAAAGATAAGAGTTCAAAATCAGAGGTTAAAGTTTGAGAAAAACTATAGTATAAAT